TCTAATTGTTGGTTCCTGACCGGCCGTTAAGCACTGCGCGTGCGTAGTGGGCACCCTCTTATGGGGAGGGGAGCAAGGAGGGGTGGAGGCGGTGTGGGCCCCCGACCTGGAGCTTATGCCTTGTGCGGCGCCTACTACGCAGGCGCGGCCAGGGGAAACTACGTCTTGTTGACTATAATTAGGTTCCTTAGTTTGTTTTTCTTGTGTTCTTATCCGATGGTGGACATTAGGCGTTAAGTTTTACGAGCGAAAGAGGTAGTATCAATTTTTTTAGTTGTAATATCCTGTGGTAGCTGTTACTGACATCTGCCCACCATGGGCCCTCAATAGATGTTTGATCGTCAGTTGGTAATTCATAGAAGAGCTTGTTAACATTCTAGTTTAAGATTTTAATCCCTCTTTAATCTCTTTTCCCACAACCAAGTAAAATGAAATAAACTTGGAAGTTGTCATTGGACTGCAGCAAGGCAAAAACAAAAAAAAAAGCGGGGGCTATAGGGAAAGTAACAGTAATCCAGTTTTTTTAAGATTTTCTTGAGAGACTCCACATTATAAAAATTTATTAATAAGTTTTATTTTTTAGAACAATTTTAGATTTACAATAAAATTGAGCGAGTAGTCCAGAGAGTTCCCATGTAGTCCGGCACACAGTTTCTCCTGTTATTAACATCTTACATTAACATGGTAGGTATGATATATTTGTTACAATTAATGAACCAATATCTATACATTATTATTAACTAAAGTCAATAGTTTATTAGATTTCCTTAGTTTTTGCCTAATGTCCTTATTCTGTTTCAGAATACCATCCAGGATACCACATTACGTTTAGTTGTCATGTACCATTAGGCGCCTCTTGGCTGTGAGAGTTTCACAGACTTTGCTTGTGTTTGATGACCTTGACAGTTTTGAGGATCTAGGCAGATATTTTGTAGATTACCCCTCTACTGGAATGTATTGGATGCTTTTCTCATGATTAGACTGGGGTTTGGACATTTTGAGACAAGAATTAAAGAGGTAAAGTGCCATTTTCATCACATTGTATCAAAGATACATGCTATCAACAAGGTTTATCACTCTTGTTATTGACCTTAATCACCTGTCTGAAGTAGTTGTCCGTTTCTCCACTATAAAATTACTTAGTTTTCTTTGGAAGGAAGTCACTATGCACAGCCCATGCCTAAGGAATATGAATTTATATGCTCCCTCTTTGGCGGTAGAGTATCTCTGTAATTTATTTGGAATTCTTCTGCATCAGAGATTTGTTTCTTTTCTCCCATTTATTATTTAATTGTTTATATTGGTATAGACTCATTAATATATTTAATTCATACTTTGGGTTCTAATCCAATACTGTATTATTTTGTTGCTGTTGGGAGCTCTTTAAGTTGGTTTCTGTGCCACCTTTACATGCCCCATCAATTTTTTTTTTGGGGGGGGGATGTGCTTCCTTGCTTTCTGGCACTACAAGATTCTCCAGGCTCATCTTTTATTTTTCCTGCCCAAGTCCTAGAATTAACCATTTCTCCAAGGAGCACTGGTTGCTTTTATTAGAGAATTGTATTAGAAACCAAGTTCTGGGTGCTAGATGTGCTTGTTGCTTACTGGGGGGTTTTTTCTTTTAGGTCTTTTATACGTTTATTTTTTAATTATCACTTTTTTTTTTTTTTTTTTTTTTGTATCTACCAACTGTATCTACCAAACTATCCAATTCTCCGGTATTTTTTGAGCATCTCTCTTGAGCTGCAAGCTGCAAAATATTTCAGTATATACTAAGATGCATGTCACATCAAGTAGCAAAAATAATTTTTTTACCATATTCCAAATGGTTGTAAGATTAACCTTTACTGGTGCCGTTTCCAAGTAACCTGACTAGGACAAATTAATTCTTTTTGACTTAGAGGTCAGTCAACTGGTGTATAGAACAGAAATGGCAGAGGTGAAGAGGGTTGTTGGATTTTGTGATCTCAGAGCTTTATGTTTAATGTGAAAAACAGTCCACCAAATGCTTCAAAGGATAAATATGTTCTGTTATCTCTTCGCTTTTGTGATTGATGTTTAAAAGCTTTACAGCAAACGCCACATTTTAATTCTCATCCATCTCTGTCACTTCGTCTATCAGATGACTTTTGCAAATATTAATGATTGCCATTTAAACAAGCAGTTTTAGAAACCTCAAAGCAATGAATGTTCTATTATAGAGTCATCTAAGAAGAGGATAAAATAAATGATGGTCTTTTCTGGTGATAGTCATTAAGTTTGGTTTTCCATCAGCATGATGGCTTTGATGATCTGATGCAAACCTTGGTTATTGATCTTTCTGTTCTTTCCAAATCTCAGTTGTCCTTCGAGGAAATAGTTAATTTGCCATAAAGGGAGATACTCTTAGGAAAGTTTGCAGCCTTGCTCGTCATAATCAGATCCTCCAAGCTTGAGAAGTTGATCTTTAGGATTAAGGCTAAAGCAAAACCAGATGAATTGGTATTGATTTTTGATGTTATAAAATTACAGTAGCAATTAGAATGGTTGAATTAGTGGTTGGATATTAATGTATTTATTTGCTAACATTTCAGTGAGTGAATAAAATATTTAACTACTTAATATGTGTAAAGCACTATGGTGAGTGGTGGCATAGTGGTTAGGAGCTATGGCTGCTAACCAAAAGGTCGGCAGTTCGAATCCACCAGGTGCTCCTTGGAAACTCTATGGGGCAGTTCTGGTCTGTCCTATAGGGTTGCTATGAGTCGGAATCGACTCGATGGCAGTGGGTTTGTTTTTTTGGTTTGGTAATATGTGTAAAGCACTATGGTCAATTAAAAAAATTTATAAGGCACTTCCTCTGCCTCAAGAAATTCTTGTTTGAACCAAGACAGAAACACATGAAAATTCTGTACAGTCACTGTATTTACTTGTACATACAAGTACTATATATACATCTTTTTTAACTCATCATCATGGATATTTTAAAGCAGCGCAAAAGTAGAAAAGTGTAGAAAACCCTAGTTTACTCATCACCCATCTTTGATAGTTGTCAGTATTTTCAAAGTCATTATTAAACCAGTGTATAATTGCGACTTCTAATGGTACAGGCCATGTTATTTCGCTAAATCATAATGAAATTAAAACGTGTATCTTTTGATTACTGCCTGGTGTACCTTTATATTCTTTTTGTTTTCCAGATTTTGCATTTGTTTATGAGCAGTAAAGAAGATTTTATGGTAAAGGTGCAGGAAGAAAGAGTAGGGCTTTAAATCCTTGCCATCCAATCACTTATACTTTAGTTCTTTAATTAAAAAAAATAATTTTTGAAACCCTTTATCAAGCATTTTGCTAGATGCCAAAACATATACAAAAGTTTATGTTAAATATTTGAATAATCCTAGTTTTATACTCAGTTTTTCCCTGAAATCTGTCCCATTTCCCCAAAATGTAGCCTAACTGTAAATTGAGTTCTCATGATCAAAGTTCTCTTTTTTGGGCTGGAATCTATATTTTTTTTTCTAAAAATACACATGTGATAAAGAGCACAGAAAAATGTAAAATAGACCATCAAAATTCCCTGAGTTCTACCTGTTTCTGCTCCCCAGCATTTACCAATTTAACTTTTTTTTTTCATTTTTTCCCATACAAAAATTTACACATACATTGTTACGTGACTATAATTGCTCTCCCCATACAGTGACAGCACACTCCTCCTTTCCACCCCGATTGCCTATGTCCGTTCAAACCAGCTCCTAACCCTGTCTGCCTTCCCATCTCACCTCTGGACAGAAGCTGCCCGTTTAGTCTCTTGTATCTACTTGAGCTAAGAGGCACACTCCTCGCGAGTATCACTTTATGTCCCATAGTCCAGTCCAATCCTGTCCAGTCCCTGTCTGAAGAGTTGGCCTCGGGAATTGTTTTAGTTCTGTGCTGATAGAGAATCCAGGGGCCGTGCTTTCCAGGGTTCCTCCAGTCTCAGACCATTAAGTCTAGTCTTCTTACTAGAATTGGAGTTCTGCACCCCACCTTTCTCCTGCTCCATCAGGGACTTTTGTTGTGTTCCCTGTCAGGGTGGTCATTGGTGGTAGCCAGGTACTATCTAGTTCTTCTGGTCTCAGGCCGATGAAGTCTCTGGTTTATGTGGCCCTTTCTGTCTCTTGGGCTAATAACTTTTGTTGTGTCTTTGGTGGTCTTCATTCTCCTTTACTCCAGGTGGTTGGGACCAACTGATGCATCTTAGATGGCCACTTGCAAGCTTTTAAGACCCCAGACGCAACTCAACCAAAGTAGGATGCAGAACATTTTCTTAATAAGCTTTGCAATGCCAGTTGACCTAGATGTCCCCTGAAAGCATGGTCCCTAGACCCCTCCCCCTGCTACTCTGTCCCTCAAAGTGTTTGATTGTATTCAGGAAATTTCTTAGCTGTGGTTTAGTCCAGTTGTGCTGACTTCCCCTGTAGTGTGTGCTGTCCTTCCCTTCACCTGAGATAATTATTATCTATTATCTAGTTAGTAAATAACCCTCACCCTCCCTCCACACCCTCGTAACCATCAAAGAATGTTTTCTTCTGTGTTTAAACCTTTTCTTGAGTTCTTGTAATAGTGGTCTTATATAGTATTTGTCCTTTGTGACTGACTAAATTCGCTCAGCATAATGCCTTCTAGCTTCCTCCATGTTATGTTTCATGGCTTCATTGTTCTTTATGGTTGTGTAGTATTCCATTGTGTGGATATACGATAATTTGTTTATCCATTCGTCCATTGATGGGCACCTAGGTTGTTTCCATCCTTTTGCTATTGTGAACAGTGCTGCAATGAACATCAGTGTGCATATATTTATTAGTGTGACGGCTCTTATTTTTCTAGGATATGTTGCAAGCAGTGGGATAGCTGGATCGTATGGTACTTCTGTTTCTAGCTTTTTAAGGAAGTGCCAAATCGATTTCCAAAGTGGTTGTACCATTTTACATTCCCACCAACAGTGTGTAAGTGTTCCAGTCTCTCCACAACCTCTCCAGTATTTATTATTTTGTGTTTTTTTTTGGATTAATGCTAGCCTTGTTGGGGTGAGAGCATTTACCAATTTTAAGATTTTTTCTAATTTAGGAATTTTCTATGTATAATTGTATTCTTAAAAAGCCTTAAATGGTATCATTATTTCATGTAGTTTTTTTTCAGTTAGTAATACAATTTGTAGGTTAATACACATCAGCACGTAAATGTCTGCCTTATTTTTTTAATGGCTGAGTAATTGTCCATGGGTGCGCAAATGATTAAGCACTAAACTCCTAGCCGAAAGGTTGGTTGGCGGTTCGGACCCACCCAAAGGTGCCTCAGAAGACAGTTCTACTTCACACACAAAGGGTCACCATGAATTAGAATTGTCTTGACAGCAACTGACAACAGCGACAACTGGTCCACTGTATGGTTCACTAATTTATTTAACCCATTTCACTTTAATTAAATGTCACTAAATGTTTACTGTACAAAAAATGCTGCAGTTTTTTGGGTTACGGTGTGAGTATAGACATCCATGGTTTAAATCCCTGAAGTGGAACTACTAGGTTAGAGGGGTATGCGTTTAAAATTTCCATAAGATTCTGTAATGTTAAGTTGTCTTCCAAAAAGACTAACCATTTAGGGTTCCACCTACACTGTCATCTAACACTCATCCTCTGTAGCTAAATTGAGTTTCTCAACTCCAGTTTTAATTAAAGCACTTTATTAAATAGTTCCAAACATCTTACTTCCTTGACTTTTATTACCAGGTTCTTTGCTTCACAATTCCATGTCTTTTCTACATTTTCTCAGGCTAAGTGCACTTAAATAGTGTACTTGAATAGTAGCTTCCATAAAAACTTTCTCACTGAGTAAAAGTTAGAAGTGATTGGTTTAAACATACAGAAAAATGGCTGTAAGTAATACAAATCAAACTCTTGAAAATACCCAAAACCGCTTTGTGTATAGGAAAACTTTGAAGTTTCCTTTTTTTTTTTGAATGAAAGTTTCAACTTATGGTGTGAGAAGAAGGGACAGAAAGACTAACTTGGATTGAAGAATTCTTCCAGAAATAAAATGAAATCTAGGTAAGTCTTAGATTGCCTCTAGAGAAGAAAATGGAGAATTGAGCAGAAATGGATTGACGTGATCAACCCCCGCCGCTAACAGTTACAAATTTGAGGAGTACTGCCACAAATGATACTGAGAAAGTCCTAACGGTGATATTGTTGTTAGTTGCTGTCAACTCTACTCTGACTCATGGCAACCCTACGTGTGCAGAGTAGAACTGCTCCAGAGAGTTTTCAAGGCTGTGACCTTTCAGAAGCAGATCACCAAGCCTGTCTTCTGAGGGGCTTGTCTGGGTGGGTTCAAACTGTCAGTCTTTCAGCTAGTAGTTGGGCGCTTAACAATTTGCACCACCAAGTGCTCCCAGTGATAATATTAACCATTGCTTATTGAAGCTTCCTGTGCTGAGTCTTTTTATGTGTTGCTCTTTTAATCCTCAGTTAGCCCTATGAGGTAGACTCTCATAATTTCCCCCATTTTACAGACAAGAAAACCAAAGATTAAACAGTAGTGAATTTGCCCAAGCTCACACAGCTGATGGGTGTACAGTTAGGAATCATGAACCAGAGCTTGTGCTCTGAAGTAAAAGTTGATGACCAGAAGATTTAAAAGGAGAACTGAAAAAGTTGTCTGTGACAACAGTTAAACATGAGTAAGGAGAAAACTTTGTTTTCTGATATCCTGAAACAAAAATGTATGTATTGGAAATGATGATAGGGAGTCAATACATATCATATTTCATCATTAAAGTGGTTTTACCAAGTGCACATCTGTTTGCAACTCTAGCAGGCACTGTATAAAGCTTACATTGTATAAATTTACAACTTACATGAGAAAAATCTATGCATTGAACTCATTTAATATACCTTAAAAGCTTTGGAAGACATAAGCTGTGCTTGTGTGGGCGTTTTGGTTCTCATAAATACACGCCAACAGCTTTTTTATCATTAACTTAAAAGTAAACAGAAAAAGGAGAAACTAGAGACCATTCACTTATTCGTTTGGTGTTTAGTGCCTGGGTCGCTGTGAGTCGGAATTGACTCAATGGCAACGGATTTGGTTTTTTTCCTTATGTGCAAGATAAAAAGGAACCCTGATGGCGCAGTGGTTAAGTGTTCGGCTGTCCTGTCAACTGCTCTGCAGAAGAAAGATGTGGCAGTCTGCTTCCATAAAGATTACAGCTTTGGAAACCCTATGGGGTGGTTCTAGTCCTACAGGGTCGCTATGAGTCGGAATTGACTGTATGGCAGTAGGTTTGGTTTCGTTGGGTTTATGTGCAAGATGCTCTCCTGTACTTTATGGAAAATAAAGAGATGAATAAACTTATATCAGTTTTTAAAAGCTGTTGATATAGTGGGAAGTAAACCATTTCAGGGACTGACAAACTGTTCTTTTCTTGCTGATGTTAATTTCTGTACATAGAATTCATAGGAAAATCTGAATTAATGCATTTTATTTCCTTTATGTACCACTTAAGCTAGTACCAAGTAGATGATAATCTTCCTTTGAAATGTTATTTGTTGTTCCTTTTTTTCTTATCATGTACAACAGTTTCTAAGTTTGACATTCTTTTGCATTGTCAATGAACTGTTCAAGTAAATAAAAAAGATATTTTGGAAGAAACATAGATGTTAAAAAGCTTTGCCTTCTCATTTCTGATGTATCTGTTTAACTTTATAATGGTAAAGTGATTTCCCATTACAAAGTTAATAGAAGGAAAAATTCTGCCTTAGTTTTGAGATGATTATAGGCTTCCACATTGCATCTTTTGAGTTTATTTTTATTAATTTGAGGAAATATTTCATAATCTAAGAGAAAGCATTCTCTTTTTTTCCTCCTCAGGACATAAATAATCTTGCTGCTATGCTTCCAAGCTGTATTCTGAATCAACTTAAGTTTTAAACAAGGTGAACCTTTGAGGTCAGTTTAAAGTAATACTTTGTTTCTTCTGGTTGTTTCCTCTTTTTTTAAAAACTTTTAATTAAAGTTGTAAATGAGGTTACTTTTCAAGGGCTCTGATGACTCATATAGCTTTAAAGGGCTTTAAAGATACAGTTGGAAAAGAGGAGAAGGAAAACCTGAAGAGAAGTTGGAAAAAGAATTATATTTAGCTTGAAACTGATCATCAGTTTAGTTGTTGGCCTCAAGTGTGGTGCTATTTGGTTCCTATCTTTGCCATATTTTAATAATGCCATTATAATAGAATATATTAGTATAGCTAGACAAGTACATTTGACTCATAAGTTAGTCAGAGCAACAAAATAATATATCTTCTCTAGTACACAGTGTTGTGAAAGTGCGAAATGAGAATCTGCCATTAGAAGAACTGTATAACATTCTGAAAATGCTTCCAAGACTGGAGTACAAAATTTTAAGAGCCTGAATTGAATTGGACAGTTGTCCTATTTGAATTGGTGCCTCTTGCCTTCTTGTCACCTGTTTTTCCTACATTTTGTTCTCCTGCAATAATAAGGCTTGCTTTTGTTTTTAGAATAGAGGAAAGGGTCAGTATAGAGAAGGATTCGTTTAGTAAACATTTCTTGAATACCTGCTATGTGCTAAGCCCTGGGTTACAAAAATGAGCAAGAATCCTGCCTGCTTACTTGTGTGTATCATTGATTCTTGAACAAAGTTGTATGCAAGTATTGGATAAAGTACATAGATATTAAACTGATAAGAATCTTAAACTTTTTATTACGAAAGTTTTCAAACTAGTGTACAGAAAAGTAAACTAATGTGCAGAAATTCCCCTCCCTTTCCCTGCATACCATCACCTAGATTTTAATAGTTATTAACAAAGTACTCTCATTCCTTTACCTGTTAAGAAACCTAGTGTTGGAGAATATCTTACTTTCTGGACTGGTCTGATTATTTCTCTTTGATACTGTTTACCTTATTCCTCAATCCCCTGTAATTCCTTTTTACTGGAAGTGAGATCCAAAAGCTCAACTGGATTCAGTTAAACATTTTTAATAAGAATATTCCTAGCGATCCTGGGTACATAATAGTGTATGTCATGTGGAGACACCTAAATAATCTATGAGGGTGGTATTTTAGCAACCTTAGAATTTCTGATTTCCTATCAACTTTTCTTCTAAGATGAGTCAATTATTAGGTAGTTTTCTAACTCTGTTACACTTTTTGCATTCATTAGCTGTAATTCTTTATATGGAAGAGCTTTTACCAACTAGAGCTATTTTGGTCCCCTCTTAAAGAGTCTTGGTTAGGGATGATTAAATACCTTATTTTCATAATCTTCATATTAATTTAATTAGGTTTCACAAGATTTATATTGGGAAAAATTGGATTTTTTTAAAAATCTTTTTTGAGCTAAGTTGATTAGAGTTGTGCTTGCAACCATATTGAGGCCAGGGTTAACATGGCATTTTTTACTCTTGCTTGCCAACATAATAAATCCAGTTGCCTCTGGCATCCTATTGACCAGAATTTTAGAGCTCTGATCACATAGATGTATCATATAATAGTTTCTAATGTGTAAGGTTTTAAAATTAAAGAACTCTCCCTCTAATTTTTAAACTGTTTACTTTGTTGAGAATTGGAAATAGAATATATTTAAAGAGTCAGGATGTGGGATCAAGGAGGACAGCCTTGGCAGCAGTGGCCCTTGAACCAACAACAATGGATGCAGTCATTCCAGCACCAACAGGATCCAAGTAAGGAAACAAATTAAGTTTGATGGGGGTGGGGCGTGGAGGTGTATGGAGATGGGAGAGGGATAGGTGATGGGATTAGAGGAGCTGGAATTGGGGTTGTATTATATGGGAGAAAGTTGTGGCAGTCTGCTTCTGTAAAGATTTACAGCCTTGCAAACGCTATGGGGCAGTTCTCCTCTTTCTTGTAGGGTCACAATGAGAATGGACTTGATGGCAATGGGGTTTTCGGTTTTATTGGATCATTTTATGGTCACAATTTAATCTTTTCTGATAAATAGCCTTGTCATAGGATACATAGTAGGGAATGAATTTCCCTTTGGAAGACTTCCTCACAGGGCAGAAGGCTTTATGAAGTTTTTCTGTTTCTTAGTTCTTGTTTTCCTAAAGAAAGGAAAATCTAAAATCTGTTGTTTCATTTTCCTGCCTTTGTAAGTAGACCATACTTTCTATTGTTAATTCTGAATCTTCTGATGACTCAGGCTTGAATTCTATATAAATCATACTCAAATGTATGTTGTATCATTTTAAAATTTTTTGATAATGGAATATTTCAAGCATATACAAAGGTAGGAAAAAGAGTATAGGAAGTCCTCATTTATTGCTTAGCATTAACAGTTACTAATTCATGACCAATCTTGTTTTATCTGTATCTCCCTGTACCCTGCTCTGCCCTTACTCTGTTGGTTAATCTGATGCTATATCTTTTCCTAATAGCTATTTAGTATTCTGGAGCCCTAGTGGCACAGTGGTTAAGAGTTCGGCTGCTGACCAAAAGGTCGGCAGTTCGAATCCACCAGCCGCTCCTTAGAAGCCCTGTGGAGCAGTTCTACTCTGTCGTATAGGGTTGCTATGAGTCGGAATCAACTTGACGGCAGCGGCAACAACTTTGTAGTATTCTGTTGCAGAATGCACTGTAATTTTTAAAAATTTTTTGTTGTTGAGAATATACACAGCAAAACATACACCAATTCCGCAATTTCTACATGTACAATTTAGTGACATTGATTACATTCTTTGAGTTGTACAGTCATTCTCACCCTCCTTTTCTGAGTTAGTCCTCCCCCATTACAATAAACTCACTGCCCCCTAAGCTTCTTATCTAATCTTTCAAGTTGCTGTTGTCAGTTTGATCCCATGTAGATAGTTCTTAAAAGAGCACAGTGCTCAAGGCCAGACAGTCTTTACTAGTTAAGCTTAACTATTATTTGGTGTTAAGAAGACTTCAGGGGATATTTTTTGTTTAAAGTTTAAATATTATTTCAGGACAATAGTTTCAGGTGTTCATCCAACCTCCATGGCTCCAGAAAGTCTGGAGTCCATTAGAATTTGAAATTCTGTTCTGCATTTCCCCCTCTTTGATGAGGATTCTTCTGTAGAATCTGATAAAAATGTTCAGTAATAGTAGCTGGGCACCATCCAGTTCTTGTGGTCTCATGGTAAAGGAAGCAGTTGTTCATGGAGGGAATTAGCCACACTAGAATGTACTGTGATTTAACAGATTCACTTTTGGATGTTTGAATGTTTATAGCTTTTTGCTTTTTGAAACAATTAGTACAGTCTCATATTATTCCCTTGTCCAATTATTTTCTTAGGAAAAAATCCAAGAACTGGGTTTGCTAGGTCACAGTTACACACCTGTAAAGTATTTGATACGCATTGCCAAGTTTTACTCCACATGGGTTATGCCAATTTATGTTTCCACCAAAGTGTATGAAATGCTTGTTTAATCTTCACTAAAGTGAGATGTGAAAAATCGTATCTTACTCTGCTTTGTGTTTCCTTTATAATAATATTAGATTGTAAAATGTTAAGTACACATATGTGATGGAAAGGAGAGCTTTCAAGACAGTGAGAACAATGAATTTTGAGTAAAAAATGACTAAGAATTGTTAAGGAAGTTATATTAACTAGAGAAGGGACCCTTAGCTAAAGAAGGGCAACTCTGAGGAGGAGCAGGAGTAGACAGCTACACTTATCCAAGGAATATAGGCTTGAGTGTAAGCCTGGAAAGATGAATAGGATATGTTCAGGGAATAAAGAAGTAAGTTTGATTATTCATTTTTGTTGTAGTTAAAAGAAAGAGGGGGGGAAGACTTTTTAAAACTTCATAAGCTAAGGTATAGGAAATATACTTACGAGTTAATACTAAAATAGGTTAAGAACCTTTTTTGTGGAGTCGTTTTATGAAAGTCTTAAGTAGTTTATATATTTTCTGTTTTCAATATGGGTTATTTTCTCAGTGTCCTTCAGCCATAACATGCTGTAGTATTTCAGACCTCTAGTAAGGAATATCTGACATGATTGTTTCATGTAGAGGCAATATATGGTAGTGACACTATTCTTTTAGCACCTGTATTCTGAATGTTAAATTTTGCTATGTTAATTTACATTAGGCCAGATTGACTGGGCTGCTTTGGCTCAAGCTTGGATTGCCCAAAGAGAAGCTTCAGGACAGCAAAGTATGGTAGAACAACCACCAGGAATGATGCCAAATGGACAAGATATGTCTACAATGGAATCTGGTCCAAACAATCATGGGAATTTTCAAGGAGATTCAAACTTTAACAGAATGTGGCAGCCAGGTTTGTTGTTTATGTTTTCCAAATTTTAGAACTTTTTTTTTTTTTTTTAAATAAAATGAGGATTGAAGTCAAATTATTTAATTTGCTTAGTTTTATGACTTCTTGATATTAATGCTCTTAAAGAATAGGTAGTTTCAGTTTGATTTGACCTTGACATTAAAATTATTCTGTACTCAGTCTGCTAGCATTGTGGCACTCAGTTTGATTCTTTTCTTGGTTCTTCATTCCTAGGCTGACAGGGGCTGGGAACACTCTGGAAACCTCACTTGGCATCTAGGGAAGAGAGCCATTCTATGTCTCTCTGTTGCAACCTCTGGCCTTTTCAGAAGCAGCACTGGCAGAGCAAAACATGTCTAGCCTCTAATTAAAGAAAAATTGTGTCACTATGTGACAAATTAGTCTGTCAAATATACTCTGCCCCTACCATCCCCCTACCTTTTTCTTCCCTCTTTTTCAGATAGCGAAGATCTTCTATAACTTTTTTTATTTTTTGTTTGTTTGTTTTTTTTAACCTCACAGTATGATTTAGTTAATGCTAGTTCATTTTTCCGTGGCTTGTGTTATTAATTATTTTTAATAGTCACTTCAAATTATTTATAGAGAAAATCCCACATTTGTGTATGCTGATGGTGAAGTCATATCCCCTTCTCCCTATTAATGCTTAATTATTATTGTTTCTCACTGTAAGAATGGAAAATTCAGAAAGTTATCCTCTAGCATCATTCTTAAAAGGATAATGAATATTCCAGTCTTTGATACTGTTAGGGGTGGTTCATTTCTAGTTTTCTTGAAGCTATGCAAAATTTCCCCAAGTTTGAAAATGTTTTGGTCTCCAATTTCAAGCTTACAAATGACTCACCCTGGCATTCCCACCCCCTAATTTTACTTGGCTAACTTTCTCTATGTCCTTGGGCAAATGATTTACTTCTTTGTGCCTCAGTTTTCCCTTCTGAAATTGGCAAAATGAATGCTTGATTTCTCCCTACCTCACAGGGATGTTGTGAGGATAAATGTGTTCATGGAAGAAATTATATAAAATCTCAAGATAACTATTTTTTATGGTGGTGTTATTGAACAAAAAGAAAAATTCAACCAAAAAATTGCTTTGCATTTTGTTACATTCATTAAAAATAATTTTGAGCATTGGGTTTCCATTTGTTTAGGGTATGAATTAGAGTAAATGGTGTAAGCTCATTTGAATTATTTATAAAATAGTTTAAGTCTTTGCTTATTTTTATGATATACAAAAGGAATTTGACCAAGAAGTCATAAATTTTTTCTTTATCTGTTTCTTTACTGAAAATCTAGCTTTCTTGAAATCTTAAAAATCTGTGTTGATTTTGTTATAACTCCCTGTTGAATGTTTTTATACCTGAATCCTAAATAGAATGGGGAATGCATCAGCAACCCCCACACCCCCCTCCAGATCAGCCATGGATGCCACCAACACCAGGCCCAATGGACATTGTTCCTCCTTCTGAAGACAGCAACAGTCAGGACAGTGGGGAATTTGCCCCTGACAACAGGCATATATTTAACCAGAACAATCACAACTTTGGTGGACCACCCGATAATTTTGCAGTGGGGCCAGTGAACCAGTTTGACTATCAGGTGAAAGATATTTTGTTGCTTTAATATTGTAGATGTGCACGTAATCCATTCTTTGGAAGTGTCTCATCAAGAGTACCTAAGATAATGTGTTTCCCTTTTCAGACTTGTACAGATAAGCACATTTTATGTCTCAGAAGATTTATCTGTTTTTGAGTGTTAAAATCGTTAGATTTTTTTATGTTATGTGTTTTTTTATTTGCTTAGGAAAGTGGTATAAAGGGCCTTTAGGGAAAAAATCGGAGAAAATGAAAAATATGAATGTGCAGTAGCTATATGATGTTTTATTTTCTAATTTATGATTTCAAAGTGACATTTAAATATTAAATAAAGTTTAGAAAATGCATAGTAGTTGAATACATTGTTTATCAATAGTAGATTATGGCTAAGATTTGCATAAATACATCAACGTAGATCATCTAAGTGCAGTTCTTTGCGCTACATAGAATTATGACCGTTTTTCTAGTGTCTTTTTTTTTTTCATTCTAATGTGACATGCTAATGGAATTGTACATTATTTTCTTTGGAGCATCGAATTCATTCCTAGGGACATAGAACTCTATGGGGAATAGTGTCATTATGTGGGGCTTTATTTTCTCTACCTGCTTTGCCAGGCTCTACCCTTAAATTACAGTGCTAGGTGTCATTTTGAGATAATAATTGCAATTGCTACCTTACAGTCTGAGCTATCATAATTTAAAATTTTGGGGGGGAACCACCATACATTATTTTACTAATTTAATGATGAATTTATAATGGACATAAATGTAAACAATATTCACCTTGAGTTCTCTTATTCATACTTGTTCAGCTGCTTAATTTGCTGTATACTCGTAATTGGTATACAGATATGACAGTTTTTGTTTGTTTTGGTTTCTGAAGAATATAGTAGCAGGGAGCTTCTACTTACACCACATTTGCATGATAGATCCCCATACTTAGCAAAGCAGAGTTCTCTTGGCAACTGGCTTAGAAAAACCTCTGAAAATAGCAAAGTTCGAAAAAAAAATTAATGTGATGATTCAGAAACTTCTATCTTGTTTATAAGTAGATATTACTTGCAAGATTATAGCAACTACTTAAATTCACTAGTAGTAGGAAATTGGAATTGATAAAAAAAATTCCTGCATTTTCTAGTTATAAAAAAATTGGCATTTATTTGCTATCTTAGTGATAGGATTAGTTTATAAATGGATTCAGAATTAAAAAGCTAATATATATATATATATATAAATCCTTTTCTATATTTCTTGAAAATATATATCCTTTTCTATACTTTTTGAAAATAGTATATTAGATGGCTTTTAGAAGGCTCTTTGCATTTACAAGGGCAGAAAATCTTTATCTTTCTTAAGGAAAGTAAGCCTAGGTTCTTGGGGCTGCAGAAATATCGGTGGATATTAGAACCATGGAATTCTTGGATTTGCTGCACACATGGATTTCTACTGTCCCAGTTCATAACACACGTGTGTCCCAGAGAATATATTGTATTAATGAGAGGAAAAATAAACTGCAATACTCTTTCAGCATGGGGCTGCTTTTGGTCCACCGCAAGGTGGATTTCATCCTCCTTATTGGCAACCAGGACCTCCAGGACCTCCGGCTCCTCCCCAGAATCGAAGAGAAAGGCCATCATCATTCAGGGATCGGCAGCGTTCACCTATTGCACTTCCTGTGAAGCAGGAGCCTCCGCAAATTGGTAGCTATTTAACTGTTTAGTAAACCACAGTTGCATGATTTCTTGATCATGTAAAAGGGATTTCCTCTGTTTTCTGAAATTGTTTTAATGCCTCTGGTATTTTAGGTATTGATACTTTAAGACACTATTATTTTAGTCATAAAACCTTAAGAAATATAAAAATGATACTGGTCTAAAATACAAAATGTTTTTAATAATTTTCTTTAAATCTTTACCTCAAGCTCCAAATTTTGTTATGAAATACAAACTTATGGTGATCATAGCATCTTGATTATTTTCTTCAAATTTTACAATTTGACACTTTGTGCCAATATATGAACAGTGCCCCTTTTTAAACTTATTGAAAAGTACTTGTTTAAATAAATTTTTATTCCATGTGAAAATGGACTTGTGCTTTTATTTGGCTGTTCTGTTTCCATATTTTAGGAAGTAACATAGAATAAGAGCTTAGCTTTGAATTAGTCCCCATGACTGTTTACTGGCTATGTAACCTTGAACAAATCATTTAATCTCTGAGCCTCAGCTTCCTCACCTGCAAAAGGGATCAAATAATAGTAGCCATCTCTTAGGGCTTTTGTGAGGATTAAATGAGGTGAGGATTTAGTGTGCTTAACTAGTGCCCTGGTTGTTGTTGATGAATTTAAAGAAAAGCACAATGATTAACTGATCATTTTTATTATTATTATTTTTCTGGAGAATGACAGTATTTGTTACAAGCACTCAAATGACACCAAAATTCTTTTTTTTATTTACTCACAGAAGTTTTTTTTTTTTTTTAAGAAATTCGGGAACACAGAACTCAGGTTTATTAAGATTTTTATTTAACTGACTTGTAAAAATGTTTTCCCATGTGAAACAGATGCAGTAAAACGCAGGACTCTTCCAGCTTGGATTCGTGAAGGTCTTGAAAAAATGGAACGTGAAAAGCAGAAGAAGTTGGAGAAAGAAAGAATGGAACAACAACGTTCACAATTGTCCAAAAAAGAAAAGAAGGCCACAGAAGATGCTGAAGGAGGAGATGGCCCTCGTTTACCTCAAAGAAGTAAATTTGTGAGTAGCATCCTATGACACGTGAGAATTTTATTTGCATGAAAGGTTTATTGAAATAAATAGGTCTTTTAGCCTGAAGAAAAGTATTAGAGTAATACTCCGAGATTACTTTCAATATGTATATTGGGGATTATGTTTTTATGTATGTGTTCTTGAGGGTAGAGTAAAGGAAAAAGGGACAGCCAGTTTTTAAAACATTTCATTACAGAAAGAAATTATTCAGTGGGAGGCTGGATAGGTTGTATCTTGAAAAACAAACCTATATTCTTTTGTTGTGGTACAGCTAACTCCCTACTGGTAGATTATAAAACAAAGCTAAGTTAAAATGGTAGTTGAGAAGTCTTCCCTTCATGAGTATTTAAGTATGTACTTATTCTGGAGGATGTAATAACTTACATTGTTCTTGACATGAGCACTGAAAGTAAGAAGTTTTAAATCTTTAATTTTTTTTTTTTTTGTCAGTTAGATTGCACAAGTGGTTTAAGATTTTTTATTTCTAGTTTTTAATTTATTTGGTTTAATTATATACACATATAATAGTATATCATATAAAGTATATTAAATAGGAATAATAATTTTTCCCGCTCCGCTTAATGAAAGTTATATTCACACTTGTCATGTGCAATATTTTTTATTGTGGTGAAAATGTACATAACAAAACATACATCGATCCAGCAATTTCTACATGTACAATTCAGTGACATTGATTACATTCTTCAAGTTGCATAACCATTCTCACTGTGCTTTTCCAAATCATTCCACCATCATTAGCATAAACTCAATGCCCCCTAAGTAAAAACTCTTATCTTTCCCTCTCCCTTCCTCGCCTGATAAACACTAATAATCTTTGGTTTTTATGTATTTGTTTATTTCATATAAATGAGATCATACAGTATTTGCCCTTTTGTGACAGACTCATTTTGCTCAGCATGATGTTTTCAAGGTTTATCTATGTTGTGACATGTATCGGGACTTCATTTCTCTTTATGGCTGAGTATTCTACTGTATGTATGTACCACATTTTTTTTTCCCATCCGTTGATGTACATTTAGGCTGTTTGCACCTTTTGGCTGTAGTGAATAGTGCCACAATGACCATTAGTATGCAAGTATTTTTGCATTCCTGCTTTCAGTTCTTTTGGATATATAGCTAGAAGTGTAATTGGTCTGGTAATTCTGTTTAATTTTTGATGAACCATCAAAATGTTTTCCACAGTAGATAACTATACCATTCCCACTAGCAATGGATGAGAGTTCCAGTTTCTCCACAACCTCACCAACACCTATTTTCCGATTTTATTTTATATATATATATATTTATTGTACTTTAGATGAAGGTTTACAGAGCAAATAGTTTCTTGTTAAACGGTCAGTACATATATTGTTTTATGACAATGGTTAACAACCTGACGACATGTCAACACTCTTCCTTCTTGACCTTGGAAGACTTTTTTTTTTTTTTTTTTGGTGAAAATATACATAGCCAAAGTTACACTGTTTCAAAAGTTTTGACATGTACAATTCAGTGACATCAATTACATTCTTCCAGTTGTGCTGCTGTTGTCACTATGCTTTTCCAAATTATTTTCCAATTTTTTGATCATTGCCATTCTAGTGGGTGTGAAGTGATGCCTCATTGTGGTTTTCGTTTGCATTTCCCTACTGACCATTGACGTTGAGCATATTTTCATGTACTTGTTGACCAGTTGTATATCCTCTTTGGTGAAATGTTTATTCAGATCTTTTCCCCATTTTTTGATTGGGCTGTTAGTCTTTTGTTGTTAAGTCGTAAGAGTTCTTTATGTATTTTGGATATTAAACCCTTATCTGATAAATGGCTTCCAGAATTTTCTCCCAATCTGTAGGTTGTCTCTTTACTTCCTTGATAAAGTCCTTTGATGAACAAAAGTTGTTAATTTGGATGAGGTCCCATTTATTTTGTCATTTGCTGCTTGTGCTTTTGGTGTTACATCCAAGAGTTCATTGTTAAAAACTAGGTCCTAAAGCATTACCCCTGTGTTTTTTCCTAAGAGTTTTACGGTTTCAGTTGTTAAATTTAGGTATTTGATCCATTTTGAGTTAGTTTTTGTATATGGTGTGAGGTATGGGTCTACATTTATTCTTTTGCTTATGAAAATTCAGTTGTCACTGTACCATTTATTAAAAAGACTGTTCTTTCCTCATTGGATCATCTTAGCACCTTTATTGAAAATTAGTTGACCATAGACGCACAGATTATTTCTGGATTCTTAATTCTATTTCATTGGTCTGTATGTCTATCATTATACAGTATCAGATTGTTTTGATTACTGTAGCTTTACATGTTTTGAGATCAGGAAGTGTGAGTCTTCCTACTTTGTTTTTCCTTTTCAGGGTTGCTTTAGCTATTCAGGGTGGTTTAGGAATTTTTTCACTCAGCAGTAATGCCCTCCTAGCTGGTGTGACGGCCACAGCATTGGCCTGTTTGTAACTCTGGAAATGAGTTCTCTTCCTAGGTTCTCTTCTCTGCTTCACTACTCTTCAGAGAAAAGTGTCAAGGAGAGCAAGGCAACTAAATTTTAAGTAGACATTGATTTTGCTTACATTCCAGAAGTGTCATACATTACTTTTTATTTTTCTCAATAGACCTATGCCAAAGCTGTGTTTTTATTCTGTATATTATGCAAATAAGAAACAACAGACTAACACTATCAAAGTTTAGCTCTCTTTTTTTTTTTTTAAAATAGTGGATTTCCAAATTGATTTTTTAGAATCAAAAAAATTGCTTGGAGGTTATTCTCCTCTCTTTCCAAATGCCTTTGGGCTTGTGTTACATGTATTCTTCTCTGGTTCATATAATCTTTTCATAGTAGTATTCAGATGATCACCTTTTCTTTTACTTAGTAGAATTGTTAAGAGTGACTATGGAACACTTCTTTGTGTAAAGAAGAGCCCTGTTTTAGGATATGCTGTCTGGATACTGAAAACCTAAAGCTATACGAAGTCAGCGACAAACTTCTAGCATTACCTCCATCTGAAGCAGACCTCTGTTCTTACCTATCTGTCCACTGTGTAACTACGAGGAAGCAAGTTTCACTAAGTTCCAGGGCCAGCTAAAATATTGAAACTGACAAGATTTTTTTTTTTCCCTCGTTAACTTTTTTTTTTAATTGTGCTTTAAGTGAAAGTTTATAAGTCAAGTTAGTTTCTCATACAAAAATGTATACACACATTGTTATATGACCCTAATTGCTCTCCCTGTACTGTGACAGCACACTCCTCCTTTCCACCCCGGATTCCCGTGTCCATTCAGCGAGCTCCTTACTCTCTTTGCCTTCTCATCTTGCCTCCGGACAGGAGCTGCCCATTTGGTCTCATATCTACTTGAGCTAAGAGGCACATTTCTTCACGAGTATCATTTTATGTCCCATAGTCCAGTCTAATCTTTGTCTGAAGTGTTGGCCTCGGGAATTTTTTTAGTTTTGGGCTAACAAGAGTCTGAGGGCCATGTCTTCTGGGGTCCCTCTAGTCTCAGTCGGACCATTAAGTCTGATCTTTTTATTAGAATTTGAGTTCTGTGCCCCACTTTTCTCCTGCTGTACCAGGGACTCTCTGTTGTGTTCCCTATCCGGGCAGTGACTAGATACTTTTTATTTTAAGTCATACAGTTATAGGTAAATAAATATGTAGCTGTAAATGTTACACTGAATAATATATCTCTGGTTCATTTATGCAGAGTTCTATCAGCCACTCATTTCAGGAACATATGATGATTTGTTATTTTATATATAATGGATATAAATTAAAACGAGTATCTGGGCATGATGTTATTCTGGTCATTTACAAAATAAGGTTAAAATTGACTAAGAAAGCCAGAAAAATAATTATAATAATTGACTTTTATAAGCCAATTATAATCTTACATTTCTTCCCAGGAAACGATTTTTCTATTACCAAATGAAATCTATAATACAAAAATGTGATTTAGAGACCAATTTTGCTTTTATATTTCTATTTCATAAGTTGTTTTTAATTATAGTTTTAAAAGTTTTGATATGAAAGATAATGATTTTACATTATAAGCATGAATTTGGGCTACCCATACTATTATTTTTAATAGGATAGTGATGAGGAAGATGAAGACACTGAAAATGTTGAGGCTGCAAGCAGTGGAAAAGTCACAAGAAGTCCATCTCCAGTTCCTCAAGAAGACCAAAGTGAACCAGAGATGACTGAAGAAGAGAAAGAGTACCAAATGGTAGAATATTAAATTTCTTACCACATATAAGAATTTATTTTGTTTGTAATGTTTTTTAAACTGTTGTTTGTCTATCTTAAACTGAGAACTCATGAAACTTATAAAATGTTTAGTAATATATAGATTTGCTGGGCAAATAATGTCTGTGAAATCCAAGTGTCACTTAAAAAACCACAGGCTGTAAAGCAGTTATTAAGCCCATTTTCTAATACCCATGTTGTATTACTAACTATAATAATTAAATAGAAGCAATTTATAAAATATCCTTCCTTAGATGTTGCTGACAAAAATGCTTCTGACTGAAATTCTTCTGGATGTGACAGATGAAGAAATTTATTACGTAGCCAAAGATGCACACCGGAAAGCAACGAAAGGTATATTGTGGGTTTCTTGGTTTTGGTTTTGTGGGGTGTTTTGGTTTTGGTAGCGATTGGACTTTTCTGTTGCCCTTGTTGAATTATTATCAGGCGTTTGAATATTCTCTTCTTGCATGTTTTAACTCTGGGAAAGGTTAAATTTGTAGACACCATATTAAAACTCCAACTTGAGCACAAGTTAGTAATCATGCTGTTGTCCTATGAAGTGTACTGTGGAAAATTCCTGATGTTCCATTTATTTCACCTGATTTTTTTATAGATACAATGATATTGGTGTATGACTTCTAATATCTGTTTTGACCAGTGAGTTGAATTATGAACTTTCAGAGTTTTATTTTCACTGTTTATTAGTTATGCTCTTACAGAAGCAGGTGATTTACCCCTTTATACTTTTAGTAATGTTTTTAAAATATATTGGAAACAGAAGTTAAATTATGGCTACCTCAGAAATAGAAATACAGATAAACTAGTCAACATTTTTCCTCATTATAAACCAATTTCAGCTCACATCAAATTATAATTTCAAAGCCAGACATGCTACTGGTTTAAAATGAATGTTATGTTTTTAATGTTTCTTGTCTTCCCAAAAAGCAGCAATAGTAGTAGATTTAACAATACCATAGACTCACATGACTATGAAATCGTGGCTATTTGTGTTAACATGTTGTTCCTGTTGTTGATGTGATACAAAGCTCCTGCAAAACAGCTGGCACAGTCCAGTGCACTGGCTTCCCTCACTGGACTCGGTAAGTGTTCTCCTTATTTGTGAGAGGGCCTTAAAGGGAAAAGCACAATTACCTAGTCTCTCTACATGTTCTGTTTTGAAACTGTACTATTCCTATTCAGTTTTTAAAACCCAGGTCTCAGGGTTATAACAGTTTCTAAAAGATTTGCCTTTTTTGGGGGGTGGGGTGGGACTAGAACATTCACAGTGGGAATATTATAAGTGTGATAACTGATATGTAGTTTATTAGGCAGGTTGTAATAGAGGATTTCCTCATTAATGCTCCAGTATATGTATATACATGGTTTGTACTTAATAGCTCATAATTTAGCCATAGTAGTGTCTAAACTCACTTTTAAAACTATTGCATACATACTCTAGGGGAAAAACCTATTCACTTAATGCTCTTAGTGACTTTTATATAGACCGTTTTGTAGTAAGTGAAGTTTTAACATAGAGGAAAGGGTTTATGTTATAGTGTAATAGTAGTGATATGTTCATAATTTGCTGTTTGCATGATATACAGTCAAGGCTGTAAAAAGTTTGGAATTTGCCTTTTCCACATCCTTCATTTCAAATTTATCTTTGTGAGGATCAAGAGAAATGGGTAGAACCAAATACCCTTGTGATTTTTGTTACAACCACTATTTAGATCACTTCAGGGTGAGGAGTACTTTCACCATACCATTTCTATACCAGTGAGAATTTTACAATATTCAAATTTTTTAGGGAAACATACTTAGCATACTGCCTGTGATTTCTAAGCTTCGGACAAAGAAAGTGTTAATTTTAGAAATATTTTCAGGGTTGTCATAAGTTTTTTGGGGTATTTGAATTGGTTAGGCTTTAATGAGGCTTTGTTATTACCCTGTTCAATGGTTATATTAGTTAGCGTGGACAGTAAAACAAAACCCTTATGATTCTTCGGCGGTAAGAAATACATGAAATACTCCAGAAAGAGTAAGATCAGATACTAAGTAATCATTTGCATGAGGGTCCCAGGAACTCCTTAAGCAGTGGAATTTATACTCCTCCCCACCCCGAATAATCATATTCTTCCAAGAAAAGGCAATAAAAAAAGAAATGAGCTTTCTTCTCGGACCTTAAGAAGTTTTTATCGCATAGAATAATTTTTCTATATGATAGACTGGGCTTTATGCACGCAGGTGGACTGGGTGGTTATGGATCAGGAGACAGTGAAGATGAGAGGAGCGACAGAGGCTCTGAGTCATCTGACACTGATGATGAAGAATTACGGCACCGAATCCGGCAAAAACAGGAAGCATTTTGGAGAAAAGAAAAAGAACAGCAGCTGTTACATGATAAACAGATGGAAGGTGTGTCTTTTAGATTCATTTAGTTTTCGACCAATTTTGCTTGTAGTTATTTTTTAACCAGCCTAAAAATACCATAGGATAGAATTAAAGCTAGATTATAAATAATGTATGATGTAATTGCAACCAAGGTTTTTGAGCTCATTTGCAATTTTTAACAAACTTAAAATCAAGATTAATTTTAGTATTCTCAATATGGCATTTTATAAAAGGTGAACAATTTTTATTTTTGGAGCCATTAATTCCAGTGGCCATATGCCAAGAAGTGGTTAAGCGCTTGGCAGCTAGCCGAAAGGTCAGTGGTTCAAACCCACCAGCTGCTCCATGAGAGAAAGATGTGGCATCTGCTCCTGTGACAGTTTATAGCCTTGGAAACCCTATGCGGCAGTTCTCCTCTGTCCTATAGGGTTGCTATGAGTTGGATTCAACTTCACAGCAATGGATTTTTTTACTGTATGAAGGTATTTAGTATATTTTATTTCTTATTAAAATTCTTGAATAGAATTTTGAAATGGGAGAAATGTAAGACATTTGAGAAGGCAGTACTTTAAGTTTTAGATGGTAATTTGTAGCTAGCACCTTTAATAGTAATAGAAGGTAAATAGATAACAAAAAGATGTGACTTTTTAGAAATTTTTTACTTAAAATATTTTGTACGAGTGCAATTCTAAAGACTTTACACAGTGATACTAGAAATAATGAAAGAGAATGTTTATTTTGAATTTCTTTTGAAAAATCTTACTTTGGACACATTTGAAAGGTAATCATTTTTGCTTCATTAATTTTGTTCTGTTTTAATTAGTGAGTTTTATAAAAGGTAGCAGCTAAAATAATTACCTATTTACCTTCAAGTTTTTTTAGTTGGACAAAAGGGAAATCTTTTCTTATTTGCTTCACATGCATCTGTATATTTTGATACTCTCTATTGCTTCACTGCCTAAGACTGTAGTCACTAGTTACATGTAGCTGTTGTGCACATGAAATGTGGTCAGTCCAAATTGAGATGAGCTGTAAGTGTAAAATACACTGGATTTCAAACACTTTATACAAGAAAAAAATAAAAAGCAAAATATTTCAGTATTTTTAATTAATTACATGCATAAATGATATTTTTGATACATTGGGTTGATAAAATATTATTAAAAATTAATTTCACGTGTTCCTTTTTTCCTTTTTTAATGTGGCTACTAAAAAATTTTTATTTATGTGGCTCACATTCTATTTTTATTGACTAGTTCTGCTCTGTTGTTATGATCTGATGGCTTGAAATTTGGTGGCATGAATTTTTTTCATTGTATATTCTAGTTAGTATTTTTGTCTTTTTCTGTTTCAGAAGAAAAGCAACAAACAGAAAGGGTTACAAAAGAGATGAATGAATTTATCCATAAAGAGCAAAATAGTTTTCTACTAGAAGCAAGAGAAGCAGACGGTGATGTGGTTAATGAAAAGAAAAGAATTCCAAGTGAAACTACATCAGCTTTAGAACCAAAAAAAGAGCATAAAGAAAAAGAGAAACAAGGAAGGAGTAGATCTGGAAGTTCTAGTAGCGGTAGTTCCAGTAGCAATAGTAGAAGTAGTAGTAGCAGTAGTACTGTCTCTAGTTCTTCATACAGTTCTAGCTCAGGTAGTAGTCGCACTTCTTCTCGGTCTTCTTCCCCTAAAAGGAAAAAGAGACACAGTAGGAGTAGATCTCCGACAGTTAAAGCTAGACGTAGCAGGAGTAGGAGTTACTCTCGCAGAATTAAAATAGAGAGCAATAGGGCTAGGGTAAAGATTAGAGATAGGAGAAGATCTAATAGAAATAGCATTGAAAGAGAAAGACGAAGAAATCGGAGTCCTTCCCGAGAGAGACGTAGAAGTAGAAGTCGCTCAAGGGATAGGCGAACCAATCGTTCCAGTCGAAGTAGGAGTCGAGATAGACGTAAAATCGATGATCAACGTGCAAATCTTAGTGGGAGCAGTCATAAGCATAAAGGTGAGGCTAAAGAACAAGAGAGGAAAAAAGAGAGGAGTCGAAGTATAGATAGAGATAGGAAAAAGAAAGACAAAGAAAGGGAGCGTGAACAGGATAAAAGAAAAGAGAAACAAAAAAGAGAAGAGAAAGATTTTAAGTTTAGTAGTCAGGATGATAGATTAAAAAGAAAACGAGAAAGTGAAAGAACATTCTCTAGGAGTGGTTCTATATCTGTTAAAATTATAAGACATGATTCTAGACAGGATAGTAAGAAAAGTACTACCAAAGATAGTAAAAAACATTCAGGCTCTGATTCTAGTGGAAGGAGCAGTTCTGAATCTCCAGGAAGTAGCAAAGAAAAGAAGGCTAAGAAGCCTAAACATAGTCGATCGCGATCCATGGAGAAATCTCAAAGGTCTGGTAAGAAGGCAAGCCGCAAACACAAGTCTAAGTCCCGATCAAGGTAGTATACTTTTTAAAGTATTTTGTCTGATTTTAAAAAAAATTTGTCTGAATTTATTCAAAGTCGAAAGTGTCCTTTCTCTCTCTCTCTTTAATAACTCAGTTTGGTACTTGATAAATGATCATAGTTTTAAGTAATTTTAGAAGTCCTATATAATATTATCTATATAAAATTGCAGATTCTTGAGTTTAAAATACATTTTTATTTTTAAATTTTGTCTTTTCCCTTTTTTTTTTTTCAGATCAACAACCCCTCCCCGTCGTAAACGCTGAGGAATGATGTGGCAAGAATGCCATGATGTTGTTTAAAAAATTCCATGAGTTTTAAGGGCTTGTCTCATTATAGAGGCACATTGTGGCTGTGTAGGTGAAACCAGAATCTTTTTTTTTTTTTTTAAATCTGTAAATAGGTGTACTTTTTCCAGATGCTGCTCTGAGTTACTTTGTATTAAATTTTTTCCAAAAAATAGTGCATAATAAGACTATAAACATACCATTCTCTTTCAGCTGTAATGTTCTTAAAATTATTCTTGAATGTACTGTGATGGTCAATAAAGCTCTTTAGTTCTTTTTTGTTAACTTCTTGCACCTTAATTTTATGATTTTTAATCTAAGGAACGTACTTTTATAAAAAGGCAGCTGGAATTTTGTATAACAGGTTTTAAAGGTACTTCCTCCCATCTCCCCCAGAGAAAATGGTTTTAATAGTTTGTCAAAGTTTGTAAATTGTACCCATGGACTTTTGTCAAATTCCACCTTTAAGGGTGTGAAAGTGGGCCAGAAATAGACCTATATTTTCCATTTGGAAGCATTGGACAGCTTTCTAAACTTTTCTTCCTATTTTGGGGATTTTCAAGTGATATATTCTCTGTGTGTATAAAGTATGGATCACTCCTGTAAAATGAATTGCTGATATCAATCAAGCCATTGCACCAGTAGAATTATATGTAACGAATGAACGTGTTTGGCACTGATAGTCAAGTCTGGAAGTATATTCTGCAATCACCCACCTCTGCTTTAGAAGCGTATTTTAAACACTTTGGGGTTATTATAGAAACAAGACTATTCAATATATATTTATTTATATTTTTAAAGTGTACTATGACCTCAACTCAGTGGAGAAATGCTGTATTATGCAGGTCTGTGTCAACTTCATAACATTAAAATGATCCTATTTTGTCAATTTCTTAAATTATGAGCAATGAGTGGTCTACAAATTTAAGCCATTCATAACTTACTAGTAAAATGGGGTTCTGGAGGCATTTTAACTTAAGTGCTCGACTGCTTTCATGGTCTGTTTTTATAAGATTATTCATTTATGAGGCAATAGTCAGATAAATCTCTGAAAACAAATGCTTTTAAATCTTGAAAAGAAAAGCAGGTGCGCGACACAGAAGTTTTACAGTATGCCTTCTTACCAGCAATAGTTCATTTAAAAATAACGCCATATTTTTGCCAAGATCAGTGTTTCCTCAAAATAAAGGTAGAAATAGATTTGCATAGTGTGCTCTTGTACCTTCTTCATAGATTCTTTAATATTTTGAGCAGTTATGCATTTATCTAAAGGAAATAACTGTGAATAAATGCATGTTTACCAAAATGGCTGTTTTACAGTGCATTTAGTTCTGGTATTTATAAAGTTGGCATTTCACAGGATAACTTTAAAATAGTTTGGAATTCAGTATAGTTTAGTCATCAATCACATATGGAGACAAAATTAAGGAAAATGTGCAATATTTTTTATGTAGGAGAGCTAACATGGTGTACCTAATTGCAGAATTAATTATCTGATTTGTAATAAGTTGTATAACATTTTCATATCTAAACATGTTTTTTAGATTAATCTTCCAGTGAAAAATTATTTTCAAAATAAAATTCTACAGAAAAAATCTGCTGGCTATGATATGTACATTTTTGGGCAAGATAGAGACTAGAACCAAAAATATTATTTAACAGTTTTGTTTACTCTTCCACAGTTTGCAAGCTTTTAATCAACTATATCTGTAGTTCTTTTTAAAAGACAGTCATGATATATGTGATTATTAGTAAATACAACAGTGTTATATTTAAATATTTGGGTTTTTCAGATTTTCACAGATAATTTAGAGAATTCATTTCATTGTCATCTGGTATGCTTACCTTGAGTGGTAAGATTTTATAAAATAGGGCTTCTATGATTTTAGAATATGAATGCTGAAACTTACACATAAGTTAATTAGATGTATAATTTGGTTATGAATTTTTTTTTTTTGGCAACCAGAGAATTAATAGATGAAATTTTTGAGGCAATGATTGGCCTAGATTGGTTAATAAAAACTGTCTTAAAAAGGTTCTTCTTTAAAATATTTCTAGTGTATTAATCATACCTGCTTTTGTGGATTGGGGGCAACGTACACCATTAAGAGAATAAAATGTAATTTGGAAGAGATAATTATAAGATTTATTTCAGGCCCCAAAATATAAATAAAGATTAGTATGGAATCTCACTAGTGTATGTTTTCTGCCTTTGTAAAATGTCTTTAGAATCTGTTTCTAATGGTATAATACATGATAAGTAAACTTCCCCCGAATAGTTTATTTTTAGTGTCAAAACAAGTAAAGTGTAATGGTAGATGAGATTTTTAATTTTATGTGGGAATTTTTACATAGGAGATGTATAAAGTCCAAAGTCCCTACAGTATGCTTTGTGGAAGGCTTTACTTTTTTTTTTTTTTTTTTTTAATTGTGCTTTAGATGAAGGTTTACAGAGCAAACAAGTTTCTCATTCAACAATTAATAACACGTACTATTTTGTGACATTGGTTGCCAACCCCACGACATGTCACACTTTCCCATTCTCGACCTTGGGTTCCCCATTACCAGCTTTCCTGCCCCCTCCTGCCTTCTTGACCTTGCCTCTGGGCTAGTGTGCGCATCTAGTCTCCTTTTGTTTTATGGACCTGTCTAATCTTTGGCTGAAGGATGAACCTCAGGAGTGACTTCATTACTGAGCTGTAAGGGTGTCTGGGGACCATATGCTGGATTTCTGTAGTCTCTGTCAGACCAGTAAGTCTGTTTTTTTTTTTTCCTGTGAGTTAGAATTTTGTTACACATTTTTCTCCAGGCTCTGTCTGGGACCCTCTATCATGATGCCATTCAGGGCAGTCGGTGGTGATAGCCAGGCACCACCTAGTTGTGCTGGACTCAGTCTGGTGGGGGCTATGGTAGTTGTGGTACGTTAGTCTTTTGGACTAATCTTTCCCTTGTGTCTCTGGTTTTCTTTCTCCCTTGCTTCAGATGGGGTGAGACCAGTGGAGTATCTTAGACGGCCACTCACAAGCTTTTAAGACACCCGGATGCTACTCACCAAAGTAGAACGTAGAACATTTTCTTTATAAACTATGTTATGCCAGTTGAGCTAGATGTTCCCCAAGACCATGGTCCCCAGAGCCCTCAGCCTGGTAGTTTGGTCCATTAGGGAGTTTGGATGTGTCTATGGAGCTTTCATGACCTTGCGTTGGACAAGTTGTGCTGGGAAGCCTTTACTTTTAAACTGAGTGTTTTATATATAAAAATGTTCAGGTTTCTAAAATGTACTAATCATGGCTTAATGGAAATAGTATTTGATTCATTGGCTTGACTTGGCTCTGCTACTTGATGTATTTTGAAATCACTGTAGACCTCAATTTTTTCAACTATATAAGGGAGGAATTAGATTATAAGTCTTGGACAGGGAGCCCTGACTGCACGATGATTAAAGCACTAGGGTGGTAACTGAAAGGTTGGCAGTTCAAACCCACCAGCCACTCAGTTGGAGAATGATGTGGTAGTCTGCTTGTGTAAAGATTTACAGTCCTAGAAACCCTATGGGGCAGTTCAACTCTGTCCTATAGGGCACTATGAGTCGGAATCCATGGCAATGGGTTTGGTTTGGTTTGGTTTATAGGTGTTGGACACTTATAGCCCTTAAATTCTTCAATTTTAAGTAGAATTTTGATTGTAACATCTCAAACCTAAATGAAAAAGACTTTTTATTACCTCTTAAAATAGCATATACGAGTTACACTTTTATACCATAAAAGTTTATCAAGTGTCATCCATAGAGTTTTCTAGTAAACACACCATCTGATTATGATAGTTTAAGATAGAATTATACTTAAATTACCAATTTATGTAGAATGTTGGATTAAATACTAAAATTTACCAGTTAATCTATTAGTAGATGTAGTATATGCATCTCAAAGGGACAAAACTTTTTAGCTATAAGGGAGCACTTTACCATTAAAATGAATGAAAAAATTTTGTATGTGTATAAAATTACAAGATTTACAAAATATTACGGAGATTTCAGAGATTTATAACAAAATTGTAGAGTCTACAACATGTTCATGGATAACAACATAGCAGTAGTCTGGGAAATACCTCCCAACAGTAGCCGTAGACCCCATAGCAACGCGAGTCTTTCCAACAAAATTCAGATTTCAGGGCCAGTGGAAATCCCTATGTTGATGTTCGTATAAAAAAATATCATGAGCTAGTTTTGCATATCTGAACCAAATTATGTGGGTTAAAGGGCTTTTGTTTCCTATCAGTGTTAAGGCAAATCACTGATTGCTTTTGTTGTTGAAACTATAGTGACAAGGCTTTGAAGCCCAGTAAAATGGTACAAAGAAAGTACATTTAAATAAGGTTCTTAGAAATTTATTTAATCATACTTGCATTCTACTTTTTCCTTGGATCTATCACTCCAACAAATACTTATTAACGGGCTAATTTCTCTTCTGTGCAGAGCTTTCTGCCTTCAGTTGGAGAAATGCTCATATATCTAAGAAGAGAGGAGCTCTGAGGGGACATGTTAGTTCCCATGGAGTGGGTGTGGACTCATAGCAACCTTATGTATGACCATGAAACATTGCCGGGTCCTTTGCCATCTTTATCATCGATGCTATGTTTCTTTTTTTTTTTTTTTTTTGTACTTTAGATGAAGGTTTACAGAACATAGTTTCTTATTAAACAGTACACATACTGTTTTATGAGAATGGTTAACAACCCCATGACATGTCAACACTGCCCTTTCTCAACCTTGGGTTCCCTATTACCAGCTTTCCTGTCCCCTCCTGCCTTCTCGTCCTTGTCCCTGGACTGTTGTGCCCCATTAGTCTCGTTTTGTTTTATGGGGCTATCTAATCTTTGGCTGAAGAACCTCAGGAGTGACTTCATTAGCTAAAAGGGTATCCGGGGGCCATACTCTTGGGGTTTTTCCAGTCTCTGTCAGGTCAGTAAGTCTGGTGTTTTTTTGTGAGCTAGAATTTTGTTCTACATTTTTCTCTAGCTCTGTACGGAACCCTCTGTTGTGATCCCTGTCAGACAGAGCAGTCAGTGGTGGTAGCTGGGCACCATCTAGTTGTACTGGACTCAGTCTGGTGGAGGCCGTGATAGTTGTGGTCCATTAATCCTTTGGACTAAGTCCATTCTTTTAGCCAGTGTCTTAGCTACTGAAAAAGTCTGCAACTACTTTTTAAGAGGAAGTGAGTATTTTAGCTAAGGAGCCATAAGTGAACACTACTGTGTGCTGTCAATTCTGACTCATAGTGCCCCTATAGGACAGAATAGAACTGCCTCATAGGGTTTCCTAGGCTGACATCTTTATAGGGAGCAGATCACCAGGTCTTTTAAATCCTGGTGGCCTATTGGTTAAGAGTTTGGCTGCTAACCAAAAGGTCGGCAGTTCAAATCCATTAGGCGCTCCTTGGAAACCCTATCGGGCAGTTCTACTCTGTCCTATAGGATGCCTATGAGTCGGAATCGACGCGGTGGGGTTTGGCATTTTTTAAGCGGGTGGTGGGTTCAAACCGCCGACCTTTCTGTTAACAGCCGAGCACTTAACTACTGCACCACCAGGCCTCCTTGAACGACCATTGCTGAGCAGTAAATTAAACCAGTTCCAAGAACCCTTAACCAATTTGAGCTTTCCTGTTGAAAATGTGGAATGATTTCAAAGTTGCACTTCTGGCTGTCTGATATTTGAGTACCTTGAAAGGGGAAACTTTTCTACCCTTAGAGAAGAAATGCTTTCATACTTTTGTGATTCTAAGAGCTGGGGTCAGTGTCTTACAGGAGTGTAAATGTCCTAATAAATATGAAATAGGGCTACACAGGGTTAATAGCTAGATCATGTATGTAACAGTGGGATTGACTGATGGCTAGCCCTTAATGATTACGTTTGGGATGGTCAGATAGGAATAGGCATAAATGAGAATATCTTGTATGAGCAAGAGAAACATTTTATAGCTTCATTGCGTCCACAATTTGCCAGATGTTGAGCGTGAAAAGTATCGATAGTCGTATATACATAACATCCGTTAATAATACAACCATGATTAAGTTGGTTCCTGACCGCGCAAGGACGAATCCCGGAACTTTGCTGCTGGGACACTTCTGCGGGAGGGACCGGAAGAAGAGGTGGATCCTTTCTGTCGCAATGTGGGGAGGCCGCAGTCTTTGTTCGTCTGGGGGTCGTTTTTTAGAAGTGCTTGAGTCTGGATGCCGGCGCACACTGGCCGACTGTCCTCGTCTAGCCTCGGCGGGTGAGTGTGTGGAGGTCGCTCTCACAGAATCCACCGGGGGGGGGCGGGGCGCCTGGCGGTTCTGCGCAGACGCAGAGGAGGGCTGTGGACTGTTCGTGGCCTCCGCGCTCCAGTAGCGTAAAACATACGGCCTCTGTACCGACCCTCAATCCTGATAGAACACCCTTCACCTTTTCAAAGGTGGAGGGAAAAGTTGAGGATTAGGTCCTGCAGGGGGTAGATCTGTCCGCGGGCCTTCACACTGCATCAGACGACCTTTATCTGATCTTGGTTGAACTTCCTGCCTCAGGGGCCAGGGATCCACGTAGCGTCGGCAGGAGTTTCTTGGTCGTGCTTCCTATTTTTGCGAGGTCTGGAAGGTCACATCAGCTGCTGTTTCCAAACTATATCGGCAATTAAGATCACGAAAATATCACACTGAACTTGGTGCTTATAGGCGACAGTCTGGTTTTTTAACTCCTAGTGTTACTAGATAGTTAAATTAATCCTTTACACGAAACTCATTTAACACGTACTGTATGTCCGGAGGAAACCCTGGTGGCTTAGTTGTTAAGTGCTACGGCTGCTAACCAAAACGTCGGCAGTTCGAATCCACCAGGCGCTCCTTGGAAACTATGGGGCAGTTCTCTTTCCTATACGGTCGCTATAAGTCGGAATCGACTCGACGGCAGCGAGTTTTTACGGGTGTGTGTCAGGAACTGTTACATAGACACTGGATATTTAGAAATGAATGATACCTCAAGAATGTTTAAAAAAAAAAAACTCCATTTACATTACCCTTCCCTCAAAATCTGGAAATAGTTTTGTATTATTTTAAAATTTCTGACTGTAAAAGGCATATGTGTTTACTGGGAAAAGTTCAGGAAAAGAAAGTATAAAGAAGATGATTATCTCCACCACAGATAATCACTGTTGAAATCGTGGTGTATCTCTGTTCTCTCTCTCTATCCCAATCTATTTCTCCAAGTTCATTATATAATACAGATGACTGTTTGAACTAGGTCTTAAAAGGTAGTTCAGATAGAGTTGGTGGAAGAGAGAATTAACTGAGCAAAAGCCCAGAAGCACAAATACCTATATCTATAAATATATATTTTTTAGAATATCGAAATGGCTTTGGACCAGACTGTGAAGGGCCTATTAAAAAACAAAACAAATAAAAAACATAAAGCACGCAGGAGAAAAATGTGCAGAGACTATGAAAAGACAAGACATGAAATATAAATGGCCATTAAAATTAAGAAACGATACTTAACCTCACTCATGATAAAGCAAAATTTACACTGAGATACCATTTTCACCTATTGGATTGTCACTGATAAAAATGTTTCATAACTCATTGTGTTGGTGACAATGTAGAGAAACCAGCACTGAACTTTCTTAGATATTGCCCATGGAGCTGCAAAAAACATCCATGGGTGGCAGTTACAATCTTACAAATGTACACAGCAATTCTTGGGACTTTACCATCAGGTACACTCAAACATATATGAAATTACCTATGTAATTCAATCTCAGGTTTTTAGGAAGCAAAAAATTGGAAATAAAATGTCCATCAATAGAAGACTGCTTAAATAAATTATGGATTATCATGCAGCTATAAAAAAAAATAGGAGGCTGTTTATGCTAACCAAAAGGTCAGCAGTTCAAATCCACCAGCCGCTCCTTGAAAACCCTATGCGGCAGTTCTGCTCTGTCCTTTAGGGTCGCTGTGAGTCAGAATCGACTCGATGGCAATTGATTTGGTTTAGGTTTGGTTATCATCTGTAATGAAATAGTCTCCAAGACAGGTAAGTAAAACAATGTGCAGAAGAATGTACGTTGTGCTACCCTTTGTATAAAATAAGAGAAATAGATTGACAAACATGGTTGCATGTGCATAAAACATCTCTAGAAGCATACCCACAAATTTAGTAACATTGATTGCCTCCAGAGAGAGAAACTGGATGCCTGGAGTTAGGGATAGGAGAAATACTTTGTAATGAGCCACTTCGTACTTTTTAATTAAAAAAACAAAAAACTTTTTATTCTGAAATAATTTAAGACTCATAAGAAGTTGCAAAAATAGTAGATTTATGGATTGAATTATGTCCCCAAAAAATATGTGTTGTAAATCCTAACATCCATGCCTGTAGTTATAAGCCCGTTTGGAAATGGGTTGTCTTTGTTATGTTATTGAGGCAGGACTAGTATATACCCTAGTATTTGAGATATAAAAGAGATTAAACAAGGAGCAGAGCAGAGATGGAGAAAGAGAGATGCCAAGCCACATGAAGATTACCCAGGAACAGAAGCTCAGAAGAAGGAAGCACCTTCCTCCAGAGTTAACAGAGAGAGAAAGCCTTCCCTTAGAGACAGCACCCTGAATTCAGACTTCTAGCCTCCTAAACTGTGAGAAAGTAAATTTCTGTTTGTTAAAGCTCCCACTTGTGGTATTTCTGTTATAGCAGCACCAGATAACTAAGACAGTAGAATTCCCTAATAATCTTCAGCCAGCCTTCTTCAGCAATGCCATCTTACATAATGATAGTACATTGTCAAAGCCAGGAAATTGACAATGGTACAATACTATTAACTAAACTACAGATCTTTTTTACCCACTAACTGCTCTGCAGGAGAAAGATGTGGCAGTCACCTTTGGTAAAGATTTACAGCCTTCCCTTCACCTAAGATGATTCTTGTCTATTGTCTAGTTAGTGAATTCCCCTCTTTCTCCCTCCCCACCCTCCTAACCATCAAAGAATGTTTTCTTCTGTGTTTAAACCTTTTTTTGAGTTCTTATAATAGTGGTCTCATACAAATTTGTTTTTGCCACTGACTAATTTCACTCAGCATAATGCCCTCCAGATTCATCCATGTTGTGAGATGTTTCACCAATTCATCATTATTCTTTATTGTTGCATAGTATTCCATTGTGTGTATGTACCATAATTTGTTTATCCATTTGTCTGTTGATAGGCATCTAGGTTATTCCCATCTTTTTGTTATTGTGAACAGTGCTTCAATGAATATGGGTGTGCGTATTTCTGTATGTGTGACGGCTCTTATTTCTCTAGGGTATATTCCAAGGAGTGGGATTACTTGATCATATGGTACTTCTATTTCTAGCTTTTTAAGGAAGCACCAAATCGATTTCCAAAGTGGTTGTACCATTTTACATTCCCACTAGCAGTGCGTAAGTGTTTGAGTCTCTCCACAACCTCTCCAACATTTAATATTTTATGTTTTTTGGATTAGTGCCAGCCTCACTGGAGTGAGATGATATCTCATTGTAGTTTTGATTTGCATTTCTCTAATGGCTAATGATTGTGAGCACTTCCTTATGTATGTGTTAGCTGCTTGAACGTCTTCTTTGGTGAAGTGTCTGTTCATATCTTTGCCCATTTTTTAATTGGATTGTCTTTTTGTTGTTGAGGTGTTGCAGTATCTTGTAGATTTTAGAGATTAGACTCTTATCGGATATGTCATAGCCAAAATTTTTGTCCCAGTCTGTAGGTTGTTTTTTTATTCTTGGTGAAGTCTTAATGAGCATAAGTGTTTGATTTTTAGGAGCTCCCAGTTATCTAGTTTCTCTTTTGGTGTTTATGCATTGTTAGTTATGTTTTGCATTGTTTATGCCATGTATTAGTGTTCCTAGCATTGTCCCTATTTTTAATTCCATGATCTTTATCATTTTAGATTTTATATTTAGGTCTTTGATCCATTTTGAGTTAGTTTTTGTACATGATGTGTGGTATGGGTCTTGTTTCATTTTTTTGCAGATGAATATCCAGTTATGCCGGCACCATTTGTTAAAGAGACTCTTTTCCCCAGTTAACAGACTTTGGGCCTTTGTCAAATATCAACTGTTCATGGGTGGACAAATTTACGTCTGGATTCTCAATTCTGTTCCATTGGTCTACGTATCTGTTGTTGCACCAGTACCAGACTGTTTTGACTACCGTGGCAGTATGATAGGTTCTAATATAAGGTAGCGTGAGGCCTCCCACTTTGTTCTTCTTCTTCAGCAATGCTTTACTCATCCAGGGCCTCTTCCCTTTCCATGTGAAGTTGGTAATTTGTTTCTCCATCTCCTTAAAAAATGTCATTGGAATTTGGATTGGGATTGCATTGTATCCATAGATCGCTTTGGATAGAATTGACATTTTCCCAATGTTGAGTCTTCCTATCAATGAGCATGTTATGTTTTTCTATTTATGTGGTCTCTTTTGGTTTCTTGCAGCAGTGTCTTATAGTTTTCTTTGTATAGGTCTTTTATGTTTCTCGTTAGATTTATCCCTAAATATTTTATCTTCTTGGCGGCTATTGTAAATGGTATTGATTCGGTGGTTTCCTCTTCGAGTTCCGTTTTTTTGGGTGGAGGAATCCAATTGATTTTTGTATGTTTATCTTGTATCCTGATACTTCACTGAAATCTACTTTTACTTCCAGTAGTTTTCTTGTGGATTCTTTGGGGTTTTCTGTGTATAAGAGCATATCATCTACAAATAAGGATACTTTTACTTCTTCCTTACCAATTTGGATGCCCTTTATTTCTTTTTCTAGCCTTATTGCTCTGGCGAGGACCTCCAGCACAGTGTTGGATAAGAGTGGTGATAAACGGCATCCTTGTCTGGTTCCCATTTTCAAGGGAATTGCTATTTTGCTGAGAGGTTTTTTTTTTTTTTTTTTAATTGTACTTTAGATGAAGGTTTACAGAACAAATAGTTTCTCTCGCAAACAGTCAGTACACATATTGTTTTATGACATTGATTAACAACCCACAACATGTCAACACTCTCCCTTCTCAACCTTGAAGGACCTTTTTTTTGGTGAAAATACACATAGCCAAAGTTACACCATCTCAAAAGTTTCTACATGTACAATTCAGTGACATCGATTACGTTCTTCTAGTTGTGCTGCTATTCTCACTATCCTTTTCCAAATTATTCCATCACCATTATCTTAAACTCACTGCCCCCAGGCTTTCCATCAAACCTTTTGAGTTGCTGTTGTCAATT